TTTCACTTTTTATACTTTGAACCCATTTTTGGGAGCCCCAATGGGGTTAAAGGGAGTGGGTTACTAGGCAGTTTTTGTAGCCCCATCGATTACCTTTCCAACGGTACCAGGGTCTTGGCAATGTGTCAACTACTTCTTAGTTAGATTTCAGTTGGCGCAAACCCTTTTTTTCGATTTTTTCAATTTTCCGAAAAATTTACACTGGGTGAACTCGAAAATGTGGACCACTTACAGCCCTAAGATTTTGGTTTTATCGTTTTCTACCGAAAACAAAACTCCATGCAAATTTTCAGCCAATTCGCAGAGGGTCGATCCAATTCTTAACTGATTTCGTGTGGAATGGTCGATATATGATGTTTTTAAATAAACAGTGCTGCTTTATATATCGTATTTCATCGCCATTTAATCTGGTGTATCACCTCACACGTGTACATAATTTCATAATTACTTGCAATTAGGCTTCGAATATTGCTAAACATTCAACTTTTCCTCTTATCGTTATCTTTATTTTTACTCTCTGAGTTCCATCACATGGAATAATGGTGCCGATATGCCCAAGCTTTAGCTGGTGTCGGGCCACATCGAAACCCGTCCTCGGATTGACATTTGTATTACAGGAGAGTTGGCTATGGCTTCACTAGCCTGCATGTATACGATTTTTTGAAGTATTTATTTCGCACACTAGATCAACTCAGACGCCCATCGGGCAAAGTCAGCTCGTGATTATTTGAGAAGACCTTCAAAAAGTTCCATACATACATGCCAATGTTTATGTGATATCTATATATTAATGCGCTTGCCCAAAAAGTTTTGGTACCATTTTAACCATTTTATACCCAACTGATTTTGATGCCACTGGTGCCATTTGAAAGGTCTTGATGAGTAGATGTGCAGAATGCCATTCAGAATTTACATATGTCAAGTTTGACATGAGTTTGAAGCATGTTAGTAAACACCCTGCTCCGGGTCCGGATTCCACGGACCCGTTTATTAAGTGAGAGGTGAGAGCGTACAAATGTAGTTTTTTCGCATTGTTTATCCACGAAAATTGCAATTCAGAATCTCTATTTATATTTGAACACGATTTAAAACATACTTCCACTCAACCGATTTGGCTCACACCTATACCAATCGAAAAATAATGTAACGTAGATTTGCAGAAAAATAAGAAACATTCACATATGTCAAGTTTGATAGGAGTTATGGCCGTTTGAGTGATAACCTGTTTTTGCATTGTCGGGTCCGGTGAGGTACCGACCCGAAGAGCGTTTTTCAAGCGAAAATACCATCCATTTTTGAGATATGAATGAAAAATTTCGAAAATGGAGGTTCTATGAGTTCTATTTCGCTTCTTCATTTTCATGCTCTCCCCTCATCTCCACCTCTGTGGGAACAACCATTTTCGAATTTTTTCATTCATATCTCAAAAATGGATGGTTTTTTCGCTTTTTTCACTTGAAAAACGCTCTTCGAGTCGGCCCCCAGTTCTCAAATGGTCGAATTTCGACCACAGGCGAGACTATTTGAACATTAAGTGTAACGAAGGAAAATCACCGCAGATTATAATGATGAATCATTTTATTGTTTTTATGGCAAATATGTCTGTTTTTGAAGTTTTTGTGAAGTCTTATATAGCTGAGCACTGAACACTTATCAAGGTGTTATCAAAAAAATTCGTTATCAATAGCTTTTGGTTTATTCCCTTTAAATTTCGTAAAAAGTAGAGTAAATTATCGACGAAGAAAACGTTGATAACATCTTGGAGTGCATTGTATTTCGGTATATAAGACGTCACAGAGATTCTTGAAGTGTACATTGCACAGTTTAAATTACAATAGGAACCATCCTTCAAGAATAAAACAAGTTCAGCGAACGTGAATTAAAAATGAATTTTAAAATTATTGTTTTGTTTGTCGTGATACTTTTCGCATTCGAAGTAGAAAGAGGTAAATAAATTTGAATTTCTTAGAGATTTTGTTCAAATTGAACTTCGATTATGCATTACTCTTAATACATAAATTGATTAATACGAATTTCACGAGAACCAACAATACAGAGCAAAAATGTATAGGGCAATGTATTTGAAACATAATTTTTTTAATTTTTCTTGTCTTAGCTGCAGGATATTGCTCGCCTTCTATTTGTAGCATCGATTGTAGGAACCAGGGATACAAACAATGGGCATGTAAGGTCGTGAATGGTGAGCGACAATGCGTGTGCTCAAAAAGAGGTAAATGAATATTAAACTATTAGTGGTCTTGTTCAAATTTAATTTCCATTTTACTAAAAAAAATCATGAGACAATAAATCTTTAACAAAAAAATGGTCTACAGAATATTGCTCGCCTTCCGTTTGTTCCATCGACTGTAAGCGCAAAGGATCCAGCGGTGGCCGTTGTGATGTCTCGGAAGAGACAGAAACATGCATATGTGTATAATATGCGCAGAACTTTGATCAAACCACTTCAAAATCAATTGAAATCAATTCAAGACATTCGAATTTTGTTTGAAGAAAAGCAACTTAAATGAAGTAACTTTCAATAATGTAATTTGTTCTTTTTTGAAATGTAAACATTAAATAAATAATATTGAACAAAAAAAAAAACAATCTACCAAAGTTAGTCTCATTCTTAAAATCTTATTATTATCTTATACAGCCTATTATACTATTCAGTACTTGACATTATTGAAATAAAAATAAATAAATTGTTTTTTCACAAAAATGCAGCACTTAGACTGCGCATTTGTGGCTTTCATTCTGGGGTGTCATTAACCCTACCAAAACTTGTAAAAAGCCGTACAAGCACGAAAGAAATGCCACAACTGGTCTTATCGCGATTGATGTCAAATACTTACTGTAATGGAATCATCAAAGTGCCATATTCCGATCGTCAATTCAAATGTACGACATTGTTCTACCTGGTTTGCTTGTGTTCAAAACCAGAGAAACTAAAGGCGGCCAAAGATGTCGAAGGGAAAATTAGACAAAAAATGAAGCGAACAAAATGAAATTGAGTGCGGCAAGGATGCGTGTATATATTCTTAACTTGGAAATTGGAATAAGGCGTCGAAAAAAAATATATACATATATATAGTTATTAGTTATGCGCAGTTTGTGATTTCCGCATACAAAAAACTGTCCGAATCGCTTATTTACAGCACAATGTCTGAATTGGTTTGCGTTGCGAACATTGTTTGTTTTATATTTCATACATTTATAGCATAGGTGCTCTGCACGTTCTTGTTTTTCCCCCACTGATTTGTTCACTATCTCATTCGATAAGTTTTCTAATGCAAGTAGTTCGCTAGCACATTCTTTCCATTTATGCAACTCCATTTTATTCAAAAAGTGAAGTAGAAAAATGATGATGATACAACAGGTCTATGAATAATCGATACAAATTTCAAATATAAGTATTTTATTTTTTAAAAAAGTTAACGATAAAAATATAAGAATGTTTATACGAGGGTTGCTGCATAAGTTTCTGGCCTAACCTATTTCTAGTGTTTTCAGATGCAATCTGACGATTCCATCGGAAATTTTGACATTTTTTAGGCTAAAAAACACTATAGCAGGGATTGTTTTACATTACTGGGTGTGTCTAAGCCTCCTTTCCAAGGGATACCTGGAAAAATCGTAAATTTCAACAATAAACTTCATTTTTCGATATGGGAAAAATTGATTATTCTGTTGTTAACCACCTAAAAAACTTCGTTTATCCTCAATTTAATAATTTCTGGCTAACGAAACCATTATTTTATATTTTGGGCCTGCAAATATTCGATTGAATGAAGGCATGTCAAAAGGTGAAAATTCATGAAGTGACAGATAGTTCCCAGTTTTTGGCCCATTTTCTGAATATTTTCATTCCAAAAATGTCCGCTTTATTCAGAATTCATGGCACTACAATTCCAAAGTATAATAACAGTCATGTAAATCATTTTTTCCCAGAACGAAGCATTGCAATTTGCGAAAATCGTCTGTTTTTTCAGAAATAAGGAAAATTTTCTGTTATTTTCAAACACGATACTATCACTAAAACCTTCTGGGATGACATGCTATACTCATAAATGATAATTTTGTAATCTCTAGTGACGATTGAGGGTTTTTCAGCCTATCAAAATTGCATTATTGAGAGTTTGTAGGCCTATTTTTGTCCAAAACTCTTTTTTTTGGTTGAAAACATATTTGGAGGTTTTGACATGTGAAAGGCATTTACGTCACTAAAACCACATGTAATATTGACCTCATGCATGTCATACTAATGCCAAAGGATGCCCCAATCTCACTATAAGTCGTATGAGAATATTCCACCTTTAGGTTTCGCACAGCATCAATGTGTTCCGGCGTTACAGCTGATATTTTACGACTTTCCTGCGGACTCATTTTTGAGTGAGCTTCGTCAACATTTAAAATCGTTATATCACCTCTAAATACTTGGAATGGACCGAGTTTTATCACCCAAAGCGAATTTGAGGCTATCACGGCACTCTTGTTGAGTTAGTCCCTCTCAAAAATCGGAAAAAATCATTGCACTAAAATGTTTGCGGAAAAATTCAATTTTTTCATCAAATTGAAATATTCAAGCTCATAAAACACCACGATCCGTAGTGAATCAACAGTTGACGTCTGAGGAAACTTAGCTTAAAAAAGGTCAAACTTTTTGACTGACCCAAAGTTTTGCTTCGGAAAACACTAGAACTAGGTTAGGCCAGAAACTTAAGCAGCAACCTACGTATCAGATGAAAAACCTCTAGACGAGGTTAAAATGGAGTGACGCTCCTGTGCGTGGATTTGCCACTCAAAATGACTGATATCATTTTGAGTGACGCTTTGACGCTGTATTACCTCTGGGTACGAAGTTCAGAAGCGTTTTTCGCATTCACTATTTAGTGAGTGGTAAATCCACGCACAGGAGCGTCACTCCATTTTAACCTCGTCTAGAGGTTTTTCATCTGATATCACTACTTTTGTAAGGTTTTTTTTGGAAAAATACATTTTTACCAGAAGTATGTCTATTTTAAGGTCTTATTATCAGGAAATTGCAATTTTCTGGGTAACACATTGGCATTCTAATTTCACAAGTTCTGGAGATTGCACTATCTAATTTTCACTACCATTGAAAAAGTCCCAATTTCCTCTAATTGCACATTATTATAAAATGCGGTAAAATATTACTTTACCGCAAACTTTGTTTGTTAGGTAAAGTATTGGTTTTACTAGCCAAAATTTCATGACATCTCCTCTTTCGGACCACTATAACGTCACGCCAAACTTCAAAAAGCACATATCTGTACACTAGGCAATGTAGATGGGATCAAATCCTATCGATCAAGACCTATCTACCCCCAAAAACATGTTGTTTACTATGAAATATGTGCAAAATAGCGATGTGCGTATGGCGTCGTTCGCGTTCGCGTCCGCGTCCGAGCTTTTTGTTCGCCGATTATCTCAAAAAGTTGACAAGATAATTGAGATCTGTAAGAGCCAAAAGTTTTGGCATGTCGAGACAAAGCTTCGGATTGATTTTGAGCCCATTCTGATTTTCCAATTTCGTACCATAAGCCTCCGACTGAGGACCTGAAAAACCTTGAAAAATGACACTTTTGTACGGGAAGTACCCGAAAAATGCATTTTTCGGGGTATCGATCAAGGCAAACTGCCATTTTTTTGCAAAAATAATGGGAGTCTGTGAACAACCGAACACCTACTTGCCCATAAATTTGGTCCGAAATCAACATTTCTTGAAATTTTGTTCGAAAATGACACTTTTGTATCGAAAATGGTCGAAATAATTATATTTTAAGGTAAAAAATGCTATGAAAAAAGGTTCCATTGAAATTTTGGTTAAACATTAAGCGGGAGGTAAACTAAATTGCTGCGGAGCGGTAAAGTTTGGATTACGTATGTAATTCGTTTTATGATTAAATCTTAAAATAACCATAAAAAGAGTGTTGAAACGATTGTGGATTCTCAATAGGTCATTAAAATATATTAGTTTCCAACCACCAAAGCTCTGGAAAGTGCATTTTAATGTATCCCCCGAACAAAAGTTCAATTTTATACATTCAGATGCCACAATGCCGATTTATGACTAAAATGATAACGAAATGGATATTCAAGTGTTCGTGGACTCCCATTATTTTCACGAAAAATAGCAGTTTTCTAAGACCAGAATGTCGTCAGAGGTCTATTTCACGTGTTTTCCGAACAAAAACATCATTTTCAGTGAAAATAGAGCAACTTGAAAAATTCACTTCAATCTGACCTATTTTTCGACCATGAAATGCCCTCAGATCGCATTGTGACCACTTCTTATCGATTGCTCGTCGAAAATTGAGCGGATATGGTCTTTCGTGAGCCCTTTCCAGCCAGTCGATGCGTATTTTTGGCAGCAATTTCATCGTAGAATGCGACTCTTCATACAAGTTTCCGTTCATTGCAGAATTGCCTATGCCCAGAACTTCGAAATACGAATTTTCCCGGATATATGGCATATGCCATTTTGTTGGTATGGTGGCCGGCTACAAACGCTCAGTTTTTGGTAAAAATTGTCGGACCCATTTTTGAGAAATCGCGTTTGGTGTGAAATTTAAGGGGGTCGATTTTTCATAAAAATCGACTTTTTTCTTTTATATCACATAAACATTGGCATGTGTGTATGGAACTTTTTGAAGGTCTTCTCAAATAATTACGAGCTGACTTTGCCCGATGGGCGTCTGAGTTGATCTAGTGTGCGAAATAAATACTTCAAAAATCGTATACATGCAGGCTAGTGAAGCCATAGCCAGCTCTCCTGTAATGCAAATGTCAATCCGAGGACGGGTTTCGATGTGGCCCGACACCAGCTACAGCTTGAGCATATCGGCACCGGAATCTGTGGGGATCAAAAAATTTTCCGGACACACGGACGAACGGACGCACAAATCAATACTTTCATAAAAAATCAAGATCAAACTGCCAATGCCCATAACTTTTTCGTTTTTGGACCAATCGGGGCACTTAGACCGGCGTTGGAAAGGTGGCGAGGAGGAGCTTCACTTGAACACCTCAGACTATCCCCTGGGTACCCCCTTCGCAAGATATGGGTATAGATTTGAAAATTTATCGAAATTTTCCAACCGCTATATTTTTGTCTAGATCACACTTTTGGCATGGGAGATATGGTGTTTCCGACTATTTGGGCCAAGACCTTTCCAATGGTACCTAACATGCCGGGGCCCAAATGTGTGACAAACAAGTGACGCAAAAACTGGCATTTTTGATATTTGGCTTGAAATGCACAGTCTATGGAGCGTCACTTGTCGGACTATCGTCCTCCGTGATGGATAGTTCAGTTTCCTAATATGAGATTTCGTGTATTTTTGCGATTAAAATAAAAATTAAACTATTGAATGAATTTTTCGTTAATCAACCGATACATCAAATAAAAGCCAAATAAATTCTCTTTCGAATAGATATAAACATTTTGGGAATTTATGAAGTAATTTTGTAGAAATGGACATGCAAATCGGAGAATTGATAGTTTATGTTACAAATTGGAGTGTTTACGATATTTGAATAGAATTTATTTTAAATATTTCCAATTTCCTAAACAAATAAATTGAGACACGAGCTGGGAATACTAAATTGTTTTAAATAAATTTTATTTTAATTCATTTGTTTTGTAAATATGAGCGGAGAAAAAAGTCATTCTGAATCCAAATAAGCAGCATTGGTCTTCAATAATAGCAACTGTTCGAAGATTTTGTCATCCATGTTCCGACGTTTTGGCTCCAATATCAAACCTTTAAAGAAAAGCAAACACTTTTTTGAAGTACTTAGCTAAAGGTATTTGATTTTTATTCTCACCAGCATAGGAGAAAAGTCATTCGGGGGGTGCTGACGAAGTGCATACTGCGTTGAACTTCTTGAATAATTTTTCCACAAATGGATGCTGATAAAGTTGGATGAAATCGGTTTCAGTGTTCGCACATGGCTTGCGTAAAAATGCGGCAATGTCCATCTCAGCTTCTATTTTCTTATCTGTGCCACGTTCTGCAGTTTGATTGAATCTAAACTGAAACGATGTGGACTGTACTACCAAAGCTAATAGAGAAAAAAGTCAGAGAAAAATTAGATTTGAATCAAGTGAAAGTCAAAGTATATTTTACCTGTGGGTATTTCCGGTGATGCTGAGCCAAGAACCGAACGAATTTTCACTAAATTTTCGCTCGAGTACATATCACCTATGAGCCATCTCGTTTTGAAGTATGGATGAGAACATGTTGCAACCAAAGCCGGCATACATCGCACATCGTCGAAATCGAACAAATATCCAAACCGATCTTCAATTCCACCCAAAACTGCATTGAGTAATGGTACAGCATATTTTAGATTTTCACTTTTCATTTGCAATAGATCTTGCTTTCGATTTTCGTTTTCAAAACATGGCGTGACATAAGCTTGAAAGTTCGGCCGTACTTATCAACACGCATCCCCAATAATTCTATGGATAGAATGACATATTTTAAAATTATTTTTAAAAATTCGGCTCATTTAAAACCTACCATTGGTGTATTCGATGAAACTTTCATCTTCTACCGTTCGCAATGGATGCATTCCCTTTATAATAAACTTCATCACAATGTCATCCAAATGTTGTTGATCTATTACAGTTCTCGTATATTTCTTGCGTTTTATCGGATCATGTTTTTTCTTTTGTGCTAAATATTTCGAATATTCCATCATGTGTTTCCGCTATAAAGACGAAATTAGTTTTGAAAAATTTAATTTGAACAAAGACAATTGTTGTCACATTTTACCTTCAAATGTGTGATCAAGTTAGAAGAAACGTTGTGTTTTGCACTGCAAACCGTTACTGGAGAATTATTCGCATCGACACTTCAAGGAACACACATTGCACGTAAGGAATCACCATTTTTTCCAATATCTTGAAGTAATTGTACTGAAAAAGTATTGACTCCTTTGCCTTTACTGAGCACTCCGAATCCAAACCGTTCTCTTCAATATTTGAGTTTTGAATGATAATTGTGTCTTCAAGCTGATTGGAATTCAAATCAAATGCAATGCCATCCGTTGTGTCCGAGTTTGTGTTCTCGGTTGTGTCTGTGTTTTCTCCACCGCAAAAAATGGTCGAAACATCACTTGAATCTGGTTCAGCTGAGTGGCTAGGCGCATATCTCTCTTTCTCGTCGGTATATTGTATTGCATTTTGTGTATTTCCGAGAACAGGCATTAATGGCTTCGTTTGTTTATTTTTTATTATGCTTGTGTTTACATTTCGTTTTTTGTTAACCGCATTGAATCTCGACAATAGTTTACCATTACGTTTTCTGATTTTGTCTCGCTTTGGGTTTGATAAAAACCTTTTTTTGTTCACGATTTTTATTCATTGTGGCAAACCATCAAAAACGAATTCGTTGTCACTAGCCTCGCAATCTAAAACTTTTTTCTTCTTCTTCAAAATATAAATATCGTTCGCATTCTCTATCGCCGACATTTTTATGTTTATTATTTATGGACAAGAATCGAATTTCAAGAATATTAAATACGTAAAATTGATTTATTACGAAATGGTTTTGACGTCTTTTTAATTACAATTTCAAATGCAATGGAAATGGAATAAAGTTTCAAATATTTTTTTCCAATTAAATAATGGTAATGATTGCAAAATGCAATTCATTTCGAAAATTCGCAGCTCTGCTCGTCTTTAGAACAAAAATCAAATGATGTCACACATACTTGCAGCATAATTACGTGAATGAATGAACAAATATAATGTAATATTTTGTAATAGTTTTTGATAATCATCACTGCATTACATTCAGTAGACTAAAACTCTAGGTGAAAAATGTAATTGGGATTTATCCTGTTTTTTTTTTACCATTATAAACGAATAAAAATAAAAAAAATAAAACAGAATATTTGCATTAAAAAAAATTAAAATAGTGTTTTGTGTGAAGACAAGTTATTATTGATTAAATTGATGTAGTAGCACCATCTTTTGAAAGGCTCTTTCTTTTAAGTATATGTCACGCATACGGATACTTTAACATTATTTTCATTCGAATAGGACCCAACCTTCTTTTGTCTGCGAGAGGTCAAAAAGCGGTTCAATCAGACAGCTCAGTATTATTTTAACTTCCGCAAAGACAGAACGGATATTTTTTGTCTTTTCCATGGATTGGACCGCTTTCTTTGATCTCTCACGGACAAAATTTTAACTTTTTTGTTTTCTGTAAGAATTTCAATCGTTTAAGGCCCAGACAAAAAAAAATTTCTTACTTCAGCCCATAGCTAACTTAGAACCTAGATTATTATATATGTTATATATCTACAAATGCCCTGTGTAATTTTTTTTGTTGCTGAAATGCATATGATACATTAATAATTAGTTCACTAATTTTAATTACAATTCAGTGATTTTTTTTTAGTGAGTTTAGTGGCTATGTTAATTTCTTTTCCAAGCAACGATCGATTTCTCGGATCTGTCATTATTGATTGATGATCACCATCTACTGCAATAATGTTAAAATCGGCTGAAAGATCATATTTTTCCCAGCCCAATTTTGGAGAGTCAAACCTTTCCACAAAATTATTTCTATTACTCTTATGAAACAAGTCAGCAATTGCAGAAAATGAACGATAACTTGTTGCTTTAAACAAATGTGTCTTAATTGGTAATGAATCGATCTTGACCGATGCACAAATATTTTGATAATTGTGACGTTGTTTTGAAAGTAATGCTTCCCATTCAAAATCCATATTTTTTAATACGATATTTATCTTTTTTATCTCTTCTATTGCTTCAATGAGAGTCAATTGGGTGACACGTGACCACCAATTTGAATTGTTTTTTAAATGATTTTCTATAACGGGAAATTTGAAAACGAAATATGATAAAAACGTTTCCATTTCGGTAAGTGGATTTGCGATGGGTGGATACGTATCAATTAAGCCCAGAAACGAAACACGATACCCACTTTTTATAAGCTGCTTTGCCATTTCATAGCCGAGAATACCGCCGCCGGAGTATCCGGCAATAGCATAAGGGCCATTTGCCTGAACTTTCTTCATTAAAGAGATCATTGCATGAGCCATTTCCTCAATGGATGACGGCTGTTTATTCTCTGGCGACGGCCACGGTAATGCATAAACGGGAATATTTCTATCGATGTCATAGGCTAGTTCAAACGCATAAGAAATATCTCCCCATCCATCTGGCAACAAAAAGAGAGGTGTTTCATTTCCATATTGACGAACTGGAATAACAGTATCACAATACAATCGATTCGAACGGTTAGTTATTTGTTCTGATAAATCTTTAAGTATTGGAAAGGAAAATACACCACGAGCATCAATGTGTAAATTACAGAGCTTAGCTTTGTTTATGAAATGCATCACAAGAAGCGAATGGCCTCCCAGCGCAAAGAAATTGTCATGTCGACTAATACGTTCTATACCAAGTAGTTCACGCCAAATGACGGCCAGCTTTTCTTCCGTTTCACCCTGCAGAGCTTCATACTGTTGCCGAGCGAACGCCTCATCATCCGGAGCTGGTAGTGCTCGCCGGTCTAGCTTACCATTGGGTGTAAGTGGTAGGGACGGTAGACACACATACGCTGATGGTACCATATAGTCAGGCAGTAAAGTCGATAGATAAGTACGTAGATTTTGGACCAGAGATGTATCTGCATCGGCTACCACATAAGCAACTAAACGATTATCTGACCCATTGCCGTAGGTTTGTACAACCGCCTCGTGTACCTGAGGATGTTCGACTAGGCGAGCTTCGATTTCACCGAGCTCAATTCGAAAGCCACGGATTTTTACTTGCTGATCGGTGCGTCCTAGATATACCAAATTACCATCAGGTAAATAACGTGCTCGATCACTGGTACGATACATTCGTGCTGCTAAATTGTCACTGAATGGATCGGGTAGAAATCGTTCAGCAGTAAGTTCAGGACGGTTTAAGTAGCCACGCGCCATACAAGTACCACCAATATACAATTCTCCTTCAGCTCCAAGTGGCACTGGTTCGCCATATGAATCCAGTAGGTAGATTCGTTTGTTGGGCAGCGGACGACTGATTGGTACTATCAGGCCGCGCTAGCGTCCTGTCTAAATACATTATAATGAATAAGTACAAACTAATACATATGCATTTCGCTATGAATGCGTTTCATGTTATGTGTTTTGATTTCATTTAATTTTGGAAATTGAAAAAAAAAATATTTCTCGACAAAATATATTTTAAAACATCATTGCAATAAAAAAAAACTTCCAAGTAAGAATGAATATATTGATATTGAGTAAGAAAATTCGGTGAAATCGGTGAAATACTTGAATCAAACATAAACGTTTGAAAAACGTACGACGCGCGCCAAAGCATAAGTGATGTCAAAGTGTGTACAAAGAGTGAAGCAATAGTGCGTTTAATGCTATGTGCTATAGTGTCTCTGTTGATGTTGATCGCTGACGTTTATAGTGGTAGGGTACTATTGGAAAATTTTCAGATTTTGTATGATCACAAATCCAAACTGTTGCATTAACAACAGTTTCGGTTGGACCATACAAATTGGCTAGCACTATTCGACTTTCACCGTATGTTCGTTTCCAGCCCCTTACAATCGATGGATCTAACGTTTCCCCACCAAAAAAAAACATATCGTAATTGATCGAAGTTTGGTAATGTATTTTTTGCAAGCATGAGTGATTTGAATGCCGATGGGGTTTGATTCAGTACAGTGATTTCACGAGCACATATCCAATCGTGAAATTCATCCGATGAATGAACGTATACAATCGACAGTTGGCTTCCATTCGATAATGCGCCCCACATCTCCCACACCGAAACATCAAAAGAAAATGAATGGAACAAACACCACTTGTCTTCTTTATTAAAATCAAAGTGTTCACGCGTAACCTCAAAGAGTCGTACGACTTGCTGATGTTCAACCATTACTCCTTTTGGTGTTCCTGTTGAACCAGAGCTGTAAATTACATAGGCCAGATGGGTTGAATTGACTCCAAGTTTGGTTGCGTCTGGATTTTCGACTGGTAAGTCATCAGGCAACGGTGTATCTAAGTCAACTACTGGTACTTGATGGTCTCCAAGTGCTCTAAGACCAGTAGTATCTGCCAACAGGAATTTTGGATCCGAATCCTGTAGAATATTGGTCAGTCGTTGGCTCGAGTAGACCGGATCGAGTGGTACATAGGCGCCACCAGCCTTTAGAATACCCAGCATTGCAACGAGCATTACTATGCTTCGCTCAA